CAGGGTAGGTTTAGACTGGATCTAAGGAAGAAATTCTTTACACTGAGGGTGGAGGCCCCATCCCTGGGAACCTTCCAGGCCAGGTTGGACAGGGCTGTGAGCAACCTGATGTGGTTCAAGGTGTCCCTGCTCCTGCAGGGGGGTTGGGCTGGGTGACCTCTAGGGGTCCCTTCCAACCCAAAACATTCTATGATTCTACAAAAAAGATGAGACACACATTTTTATTACCCATTCCTACTGCAGCGCCCCACTGACAGCCCGCTGGTCCATACCTGCAGTGCACTATGATCGGCCCCGTGTCTGGAATGCTTCGCTGTGCCCGATTCACTTGGTCCAGAAAGCTCAGAACCCCTCCTGGTTCATTGGGCACCCCGTGATCTGGCCAGCTAAAATACTGATAGTGCTTCACCAGTCTCGGGCGCTCATCCTGCAGGGAGCAGAGACCGGGTCAGAAAACCCACCTACCTGGAGGCTTCACCTTCCTTTCTTTTTACCAAAGCTGGGGCAAAGTGGCCCAGAACTTAAGCAGTGGGAGCATTAAATAACAAAACAGAGAAGCCACAGCTCCCTCCCCGGGGGTGCCAGCGCCAGCCCAGCCCATCCCAGCGGGCAGGCCCAGCAGAGGACTCACCCTGTCGGTCCGCGAGATCTCCAGCTCCCGAAGGTAGTAGCCCTGGGCCTCCCGCTCGCTCACGTTGTGCACGGAGATGCACCCGTATTCCTTGGTGCAGCCCTTGTCTGGCCAGTAACGGAAGCATTTGTTCTGCAGCAAGACCAGAGAGCTGCTCGTTAGCCGAGACGAGGATGAGCCCCTGAACCCCTTGCTCGGGAGCGCCGCTGCATTCGAAGGGTGTGTAGCCCCAGTGTAGAGGTTTGACGGAGAGCCACGCACACAGAGCATTCCCTTTGAACTGGGGATGGACTGGAAAGGGTCCTTCCTATACAAAGGACGCGATCCCTAGCGGAATCCCCCTCCTCGGCTAGCCCCAGCCGCAGGTAGGCATTGCTTTGCCAAAGGCATAGTCTTGGCACACAACACCTGAGCTGGTGTGCTGGTCACTGCCTAACTCCTGAGCCAAATCTCCATCCCAAGGGGCTACATAGCCTGCCCGTACCCCTCCTGTCCTCCAGCCCATCCCCTCTTCGCTATAGTGACTTTGCCAATACAAAAGGGCTTGTGAGTACAGAGCTACCTTATCTCATCTCATCTCCGTGCTAGGCTGCTGCAAGCACAGCCTCCCCCTCGTTCCTAAGCAAAACTGCTCGTGCCAATCATAATTAGCTCCTCGCTTCCCCGGGAAATGGCTCTGCATGGAATTTCGCTGTATTCCTTGCCTCCTACCAACCCGCTCTCCAGGAAATGCCTACAGGTAGCACAGAGACAGGCTGTATCATTACTTTTGTCCCTGGCACAGCTTGCACAAGCGCTTTCCATCTTGCTGTAACAGGCGTGACGCTCGCCCTCACTCTCTCTGCCACCTGAGCCTCGAAGCAAGTCCTCCGAGGGACACCCCGTTAATATTTATGGGGCTGGGGAGCCCGGCTGCGCAGAGCAAAGCGGTACGTTTCTTTGGTGGAGAAGAGCTAAAGCCCCAGAACGAGACAGAGGGGAAATGAAGTGAAATGAAAGCCAGCCAGAGACAACTTAAGGAATAGCTCTTAGTGCTAGCAGCCGGTAACTCTCAGGCTTGGGGGCAGCACCCCATGAGTGCTCACCCTGCCCCGCTCCACCTCCTTGGTTGTCATGACAATGACATGACTGTTCTCTTGATACACCATGGCCCAGAAGTCATTCACTGTCGTCTGCAGGCAGCCCTGGGTGGCTATGTAGATCTTGCAGTGCTCCGAGTTCCTTCCATCTTCAGGGATGCTCTGAGAAGCAAAGGGGGATGGGGACGGGGGAGGTGGGGGGAGAAGCCAAGGATGCTGGAGTGAGGAACCGAGCCCCAGGGACCTTCACGCTGCTGGAACGCACGCTACGGCACAACAGGCTCCGGCCAGCAGGAGATGCAGTTGGATGTGGCTGGAATGGAGCCACCCTGAAGATTTCCCAAAAGCTGGTGTGCTTAAGTGCCGGAGCAGCATTGCTGGAAATACAGCTCCCAGCAGCTCATAGCTTACAGATGGCAATCATAATTCGACCTCAGAGATAATGTTCGATGACAGAGAGTCTGGGTCAGTCCCCTCGGACTGCCTGAACAGGTAAGGGAAGGAGGGGATTGAGATAAACCCTTAGATAAGGGCAAATAGGACATGGTAGAACAATAAGATCCCTTGGGATACAGTAGAAAAATCCAGTGTTTGTCCTGGACCCAGTGAAAGATACTGGTCCTGACAGACTGTTCCCTCAAGATTTACACCATTACTGCACTTACCCACCAGAAACACAGCACTGGGCTGAAGACAGCCCCCATCCCACCCCCCTCCCCAGCGTCTTCCCTTTCCCCAAGTACCTTGATATAGTTGGCATTGATGTAGTCTGACCCAGGCACGCTCGCATCTGCGTCTCGGAGTGCCACCCGCGTGGTATCAACTGAAGGAGAGAGCCCAGAATGAAGATGGGAGCGAGTGGCCCACCCAGGGGCATGGGGGGGGGGGGGGTTTGCTGCAGGGCAATTTCTGCAAAAGAGGGTGTAAAATGCTCCTCCAGTGACACTTGGCAGTACTGCATGCTGCCTGGCTCACGCTGTGTGGTCGATCTAGTGGGCATCAGCGATAACCCGAGCTCAAGTTTTCCAATATTTCCTTGGGATGCTCTAGCTCCATATGAGCTCTGAATCACACTTGAGCTCTGCAGCGTATTAGGACTCACAGCACAAGGAGAGGAGAGCAGTTTAACCAGTTTCCCATGGAAAAGGGAAGGACCAGGTTAGAAAGGGGATGGAGAACGCCATGGACCACTCCACTAGGACAGCGTACACCTCCTTCCAACTCAGCTATGGCCAGAAAGCTCTGCAGGGTTAACAAGCCCCAGAGAAGGCTGCAGAAATTGGGGCCATAAAAACCCTCAAACCGGTACTGAGTGTCTCCTTACAGGGAAGGATGTTCTTGTAGCGATTCTTAGCCTTGTTCTCTGGTCGCTGCCCCTCCTTCCTGGGGTAGAGGAGCTTGCACTCTTGCTGCTGCAGCATCTGTGGAGCAGAGAACAAACTGTTCTGAGCAGACAAGGGCAGTCAGAGGCAAAGGAAGGGCTCTTCCCGCTGGCCACGTGGCTTCCTAACGCTGAGAAGAGCAGAGGGAGTGCTGTCAAGAAGGGAAAGGGAGCCAAGAAGCAGCTCGAGGAGAGAGTTAATGGAGGGAGGAGGCACAAATCCCTGCAGGGAACAGAAAGCACACGGCTCTAGGATGAGGAAGCAGAAACTGCCTCGGGTGTGAGAAAAAGCAATGGAAAAAGGATGAGGCAGTAACTCAGCTGAACACGGAAAACAGGGAAAGGAGAAAGTGCTGAGAAGAGGTCCTCAGTGCTGGAAAACCATGAGACTCCCATGCAGATAGGATATTCTTCACCCACAGGCACAAGCGGGACAGAGCACGGGAGCATCCTGTACCTCAAACTCTTCCCAGAACCCTTGCTTGGCCTTCTCGCTGTGATCTGCCATTTTGTTCAGCTCCCTCACTCTGTTTTCAATGTTTGCTGCGTTGATGCGCGTGGCGTTGAATGGCTGAAAGACAGATGAAGATGGAAATCGCTTCCAATAATAGTAAGACAGATAATTTTCCCCCTGGAAAAAAACAGTTCCTGAATCCCTGGGGGTACTGGCAGGAGATGGGTCCACTCCCAAGGCCTTGGGTGTGGGGCCAGGGACCTCTCTGGCAAGTGGAGAGTCTGGACGAGCAGGAGAAGTAGCCAGGGAGATGTTCTGAGGGCAGGGAGTTCCCAAAGAGCAAGCCCAGAACCAACAAATATGTGCTAGAGCAGCTATTACCTGCTTCAGATGAACCACAGCTCCAGATTTCTCCACCATGGGGTTCTTCTTATAGTGTTCCACCAGGTCCGTGAGGGTGTCAAACCGCTCTCCTCCTCCCACGTCGTACTTCCCGTCCGGCTGCAGGACAGAATGACAAAACCACGGTGAGATGGGAACACACCGCTCCCCGCTGGGTCGCCCACCCAGCGCCGGCCGCCGGCCGAGCGAGGACAGCACATTTCCCACCTGGTAGTGGATCATCACGTGGGTCACGTGTGGTTTCCGATCCCCGCTCTCCATCTTATCCTCATTTGTCAGCACCGACAAGACAAAGTCTCCTGGCTTGCTCTGGCTCTCCCGCACCAGAAAGCTACCCGGCTTCCCCTTCTCGGTCAGAAGCTTCTCTGCCTCCTTGCCAGTGAGGTGCCCATGGTACCACCTTGGAGAGCAGCAATGGAGAGCAAGGTCAGCTCAGAAGTGCCCGGAGCATTCTCTTTAAACAAGAGCTACGCTCGCTGCTGGGGATGGTGCTCATGGGAAACCCATTCCCAGGCTCCCGATCCAACTGCTCTCCCCCCTGGCACGACAGCGGCTTGGGTTATTTTAGAGACAGTCCCCAGTGACTTTCCTCCAACTTTTTGCAATGTCACATCAATACCTTAGCCCGAGGCTGGAAGTGTCAGGACTTTGCTCAGCCCTCCAGCTAAATTCGAAATGGCATCAGTGTATTAAACTGCCACGTGATGCATGACAAGCACTGTCATCTAGAGATGGCTTCCGATGAAGCTGTAAGAAACACGATTCCGGCAGTTCTTCCTCGAAGGTGGCTACGTTTTCCTTTACTTTTTTCTCCCCCTCTGCTCTGCCCTGGTGAGACCCCGCCTGGAGCACTGGGTCCAGTTCTGGGCTCCCCAGTTCAAGAAAGATGAGGAACTGCTAGAAAGAGTCCAGAGGAGGGCAACAAGGATGAT